GGGGGCTAATTGCGCCATGTCTTCTCTTTCAGCTGTTGGCAACTGATGTGCATGCGTGTGTGTATATATATATATATGTATATAGATGTATATATATATATATATACAGATAGATATACATATGTACATAGGTTTGTGCATGTGTTTGAAAAAAACAGGAGATGAAGCTGTTGGCATGAAGGTTTTGGCTTCCAGGGCCGACATGATGTGCATGCGTGTTTGTATGTATATGTGTTTAGGGCTTAGCTAGGGTTGTATGCAAGAGTGTGGCTATGCATATGTATGTACATGTGTATGAAGAAAAAGGAGATGAAGCTGTTGGCCTGAAGGTTTCGGTTTCACTGGGCGATATGAAGATGTCACCCCACGCAAGGCTAGAACCACGGATGTGGCCAGCCCGAGCCATGCGAAAGGATGCATGGCGGTGCTTAGCTTGTTGGAGACAAACACTGCAGATCAGGAAAAAGTGGAGGTTAACACCAGGGTCCTGGCCGGCGCGCCACCGACTACTGTGCCTTCAATGGGACCCGAAACCATCCTAAATCTCACTATCCTTGAAAGCCCGAAACTCGAATATGCTGTAAAAGCCAGTACATCCTACACTTTGAACTTTTTTTCGGAAGTGAACCCGCAGGGAGGGTTTAGGGTTTGGGGTTTGGGGTTTGGGGTTTGGGGTTTAGGTCGAGGGTTTAGGGTTTAGGGTTGGGGGCCTGAATCATTACCAAAACAACTCCTTGGGGATTCCTTCTGGTAAGTGTTCTCCATTATACCCCAAAGCCCTATGATGCCCATGATACCGCGTTGTGCCCGGGGGCTTTTTGCTAAACATTCTGAAGACCCCTACTGTAATGTAGAAGCCTCAAATACTCCGATATTCTTCCTATGGGCTCCTTGTTCTATGAAATTGTAAAGGAGCAGCCCTTGCTGTGTATGTTTGCAGGCAATGCTCCAGTGGATCGGCACAGTCGTGCGCGAGCAGCCTCCCGTTCGCATATTTTCGGCTGAGATGCCCCGGTGTAGGGTTCAGGGTTCCCCGAACCGCAGACAGCGCCAGAACTTGCGATGAGATTGACACCTAAACCCTAAACCCTTACTGATTTTGTTGTTTCAGACTTGCATGCGGAGGTTCCAAAATCTGGTGGACCAAGCGCAGGAGCGCAGCCGGCAAGAACTCGGGGACCGAAGCCCCTTTACCGTGTAGCGCCAGACTCTGCGGTTGGATGCAATGACGTTTAGGGTTTAGGGTTTAGGGGTTTAGGGTTTAGGGGTTCAGGGGTTTTGGGGGCTTCCCCTACCTGCCTAACCTAACTTGTTTGTAGGATCTCATTATACAGCCTAATATGCGATCTTATTTACCCTAAGGGTCCATGTGCTCATATAGTATATACATTGGCCTTAATGTAGTCCCTATATAGGTACTTTAGGGCCCATGTATATGCTATATGAGTACATGGACCCTTAGGGAATGACGGCGACGACAAAAGCAGCATCAAGAGTATCCGGAGGTAAGAATAGCAAGAGAAGGTCTTGGGTGTGGTGCATTCGTCGCTACCTGACGGCTGTAAGGTTTAGGGTCTAGGGTCATGTTGCTCGGCGTGTCGGTCGAGCTTGTGGTCGCAGCAGTGGTCTTGGTCGCAACACTGGTGCCGGCATCGGCAGCCAGTCTTGCGGGTAGTGGTGATGGTGGTGGTGGTGGTGGTGGTGGTGGTATTGGTAGTAGCATTGGTACAACTAGTATTATAGTATTCGTATTAGTGTTCGTCTTAGTATTCGTATTATAGCATCAGTATTAGTATTTGTAAGAAACAGTAGCAGCAGTATCAGTATTCGTATTCGCATTCGTATTCGCATAAGGATTGGTATTGGCGTTCGTATTTGTAGTATCAGCAATAGCATCAGTTTGCACAAGTATTCGTAGTAGTATTTGTATCATGATGATGATCATTACCATTAGTAGTAGCAGTAATTGTAGCATTTGTAGTAGCAGTAGTAGTAGTAGTAGTAGTAGTAGTAGTAGTAGTAGCAGTAGTAGTAGTAGTAGTCGTAGTAGTAGTAGTAGTAGTAGTAGTAGTAGTAGTACTAGCAGTCTTTGTCTTCGTAGCAGTCGTAGTCGCAGTCTTAGTCAAAGTCGCTGTCGCAGTTGTAGTCGTAGTACTAGTAGTAGCAGCAGCAGCAGGAGTAGTAGTAGTAGTAGTAGTAGTAGTAGTAGTAGCAGTCGTCGTCGTCGTCGTCGTATGCGCAGCAGCAGCAGCAGCAGCAGCAGCAGCCGTGGTGGGGAAGTGGGTTTCCACTGTTGTTTCGTTATTGGTGTGGTATGCACTTGCGCTGTGTAATCAGTACGGGCGGAGTTGAGTATTGGGCCGGGTGTTGGGTTCTCTCGCGCACTTGTAATTTACATGTCCTCTCAACTGCAAAGTCCCGAAGACACGAAGGATAACCTCGCTGTTCGTCCTGCTTAATAGAAGCCTAAATATCTACCAAAATGATTGCTTCCGGTTCCTTGTTATATTCGTATTGCGAAGGAGCTCAAAACTGCCCCAAACCCTAAACCCTAAACCCTAAACCGGACTCAAAACCCTATTCTACTTATTAAGGCCCCTACATTGACCGTTCATCTGATCGTCCACAAGCATCCAGCTTGCAAGCTGCTCTGCCTTGAGACTTGAGTCTGGCGCCTCCTGGTTAGCCTAGGGGGTCATACCCGACCCCTCCTTTTGGAGTAGAATTCTAGTTTAGGGTTTAGGGGTTTAGGGTTTAGGGTTCAGGGTTTCATAACATGCAGATCCTAACCATGAAACGAAGTTTCGTAAAGGGGGGGGTAGGGTATGACTCGTAAGACTCTCTAGGTAGGGCCAAACAGGGCAGGCTTGAATGCTTTCTCTCTCACACATGGCCGTATGTGGAGCGATGTGACTTAGCCATGGTTCTCGCGCAAACAAACTTCATGATAGCTCTGTATGCAACCTGGTGACGCATCGTTGGTGTGCTGTGGGCGGACATATGGAGACGCCATTTGCAGACTTTATCGTCATATACCCGACGGAGGCACAAGGTGTGTTTTTTATGTAGAAAAATCTCCAGTACTTTGGCTGCCGATCTCCCACCTGTTGGAGCTCGATGCTGACATATACTGCGGACTCCCACGAGTTGGAGCTCGATTCTGATGCGGCCAATGACTACCACTGGCCGTCGCAAGTTTTTTACGACCCCAAAGGGTCCAAAGTACCTGTACAGTAGAATGTAGGGTTTCTATACTAGGGGTCCTTCTTCTGATTTGGGAAAGTATCTCCATAACACTACCTAGAGTGTAGGGTTTCTATATTAGGGATCCTTATTGTGATTTGGGAAAGTATCCCCATAACACTACCTAGAGTGTAGGGTTTCTATATTAGGGATCCTTATTGTGATTTGGGAAAGTATCCCCATAACACTACCGAGGACCCTTTGGGAATGACTGGCCCAAAGGAAGGAGTCAGGCTGAGTCTCAGCCTTGATATAAGGTCGGTCCGACTGCAGGGTGCTGTGCCACAAGAATTTGGGATTGAAGCGGTTTAGGGTTTAGGGTTTAAGGGTATTTAGGGTTTAGGTTTAGGGTTTAAGGGTATCTGGGGTTTAGGGTTTAAGGGTAGTTAGAGCTGTGAGGGCCCTTAAGTGGCTCGATCATCGAATCCCTGCTGCGAACCATAATGGTGTTCATTTCGAGTATACCATCAACGGGTCTAGACCAAGCAGCAAGAAGCCAGCACTACAGATGACCCGACACCTTACGAACCCCCTACCAGACCCCAAACCCGAAACTGTATGAACCCTACTCCCTCAAACCACGAACCCTCATCAAATCCATCCGATAAGCACTGCAAAACCATAACTCTAAACCCTAAACCCCACCCTAAACCCCAAACCCCACCCTAAACCCTAAACCCTAAACCCCACCCTAAACCCTAAACCCCACCCTAAACTCTAAACCCTAAACCCCACCCTAAACCCTAAACCCTAAACCCCAAGTTGCAAACCCGGGGCCCTCCTGAGATGCATCCGGTCACCGCCCTGCACGTCTCCAAGTTGCTTCGGGCCGATGCTTTTGACCAGGCAACGCAATTTCGGGCGCCCTGAATGGTTAGTGTTTAGGGTTTAGGGTTTAGGGTTTAGGGTTTAGGGTTACGGTTATACTTTCCTGAATGGTCCCTCTATACTACGTCTAGGGTTAAGGGTTTTAGGGTTTTTATCTCCTAAACCCTCAACACTAAACCCTTTAACCCTAAGAGTCCCTAAATACTTCTAATACGTAGCTGCGTATCCGCTTCGAGGTGCGTTTTGAGGGTAGGATCGGGGATTTGGGCTCTGCGTAGGCTTCATGAAAGGTTTAGGGTTTAGGGTTTAGGAACCCAAAACCCTAAGCCTTTCAACCCTAAGCCCTAAGCCCTAATTTAGGACTTAGAGTGTCTATTGGGTGGAAAGGAAAGGCTTCGTAGGAGCATATTGGTGAGGGGGCATGTTTTCTCTCTTTAACCCCTACATACCTGTATAACGGTATACCCCAGCGCCCGATTCTAATTATTCAGGCCCCTGCATTCTTGCCAACTACAGCTGATGGGCTTTCGGTGCAGATTCACCGGGAAGGTGCTCTGCCCGAACTTAGGCAAGCAGCCTTTTAGTTTTATCTGCCAACTCAATGAGGTAAGCCACGAGAAATCGCGACCCTTTGATTTCGAGATCCCGAAACTCAAAGCCCTAAACCCCTGTGCCCTGAACCCCAACACCCTAAACCCCTAAACCCCTAAGCCCTAGGGGTCTTGGTCGGGAGTAGTGGTAGTGGCGGCCTTGTGTTAGTGGTGGTGGTCAAGGTCGCTTCTCAAATCTAGCTTGCTTGTGCTGCGAGTATTTACCCTAAACGATAAACTCATGTAGTGCTCTCTAGCTTTGTTGTTGACCCTAAACCCTGAACTCATGTAGTGTTCTCTAGCTTTGTTCTTGAAGGGTGGGTGGGTGCTGTTTACCTCAAGTAGGACTCTATGGCTCCCTGTATCTGCTGAAACCACAGTGGCTACCTGCCTTGAGAATGGCATTCTGTAGAGAATACCTGCATGGACTCAGAGAGCTCAAAACCGCTTTCTTATTTAAGGCATACAATACACTGGGTCTGGAGAACCATGCTTGAATATTTTTTTTGGGACCTGTTCCTTAAGGGAACCAGTATGAAATAAAAGTCTATACTTTTTTCTCCCTGGTTACTTCAAAGTCTAGTATACCCTTTCTAGCAGCCCAAAGTGCGTGCCATTACTATTGTTTTTGTAAGTCTCGTAATTAGCATCGCCATGTGATAGAAGGTGTTTTCCTCAATTTTATTTAGGGGAGATGCGCTCTTTGGGGAATTCATCCTGTGATGTCTTATCCCCCGCATAGCATCGCATGAGTCGCAAGCTCCACGCCGCGGTGGTTCCAAGTGCTGCAAAGGGTTGAACGTTCCTTAAGGACGAAATGATGAAGCCTAAAAGTGGTTGAGGTTCCAACACCATTATGGTGTTATAGTAGGATTCATCGTATAACGGTATAGGGCCCCTACTTTTACGGATACTTTGGTCCTTGTGGTTGGGTACAAACAACTATGGATTTTCATTGACAACAATGACAGGACAAGAAAAGTCCTCCCTTGGAAAGGCTTTGCAAGTCGCGCAGTTTCGAGGACCATCCCTTCACCAACCATAGGGCCTTACCAGCTAAACTTGCAAACCTCTAAACCCCCAAAACCATAAACCCCCAACCCTTAAACCCTAAACCCTAGGCAGTTCAACCCTAAACCCCTAAGCTGGTCGCGTTTGTTCAGTCCATCTTCTGCGTTCTGGAGTACCATACTTGATTTTTTTTTGGGGGGGACCTGTTCCTTAAGGAACCATTATGAAATAAAAGTCTATAGTCTATACTTTCTTCTCCCTGGTTACTTCAAAGTCTAGTCTTGAGTCACTTGGATCCTCCGAAGGCTTTTGTTTTCCGCACAGTCAGGCTGGAGCGGGATTGACTGAAAGAGATACCCCTAAGGGTCCATGTGCCCAAACAGTACATACTTTGACCCCAATGTACCTATATAGGGATTACTTTAAGGCCAAAGTGCATACTATTTGGGTACCTGGACCCTTAGGGTAGAGGAAGCTAATGCAGCTAATGTCGCGTGGAAAAAGTGGAAGGTAGCTAATGTTGCGTGGA